CATAAACTTTGAGAACTCTCTTCAAGGTATACATTTACTCCCAGTTAGGACCTAGTTTCACTTTAATTTTTATCGCTGCCAAATTTACAAAAATTACATTACTAAATGGCTTCTACTATTTTTATATATCAAAAGCTCAGGCAATATTTGAGTAGTTAAAGGGATCATTAATAAGCTTAGCTATACATCATCTACTCATTTTGCCAGTTGCTGATATATCAAAATATCACGATATGGGCTAATTATAATTTTGTATTTGCCATTATCGCATATCATCTTGTAACTCTCTGAGTTGACTTTACTTTGTGAAATGCTAAAGATTGAAACAGATTTTACTAGTTTTTCATGGTTGCCTATGTATAATTTATTAGAACATGAATTTTGCATTAATAGTCTTACTTTTAGGGACTTTTTAATTCCATGCCCATGCTTAATTTAGTTAAATTCTAACGGTGCATCCGATGTTAAAGGGCAACACTAAAAAAATTAATAAATGTTAATTTGTGTTTGTCATTAGTTCGAGTCACAGCTCATCTTTAAGTATAATCAGAAAAGGCCAAGTATGTGATGGAGAGTACAAGTGTTGGTCCTCTTCAAGCAGCGTTATTATCAGTCAAAGCTTTTTGTAGAAAACAACCTTTATTATGATATGGGGAGGTGAATCGCCTAAACACACTTAGGCCCGTTTATAGTAGTGAACTGCATCAAGTATCTCTAATTAATTCGCTTTTCTAAGGCTGCCGGTACAAAATAATATTTCATATTTGTTAGTTAGCAGACTTAATCATCTTCGGTACTTGTGTACTTTTGTATTAGTCGGACGATTAATTACCTTAAAATATTATTCAAAGTAATTAAATACTTATTAGCTTATTGCTTCTAAAGTATCCATATTATTAACTTCATCTAAAAATGCGTAGTCTCGTCTGTTCTAGGCATATCATTCCAATCCTTTATTCTTATTTGGAACAGTCACTTATCCGAAAATCAGTATCACAGCCAAGCGACTACCCACATCTGATCCCATCGGGCAATGGCCAATGCTCCAATTGACATGTCTTAACCTGGGATGCGATAATGGCGCTTCGGTCATTGACCTGCCAGACAGCTCCGGTACCACTATGGCCCTCGGGTTCCGACCAGAGCCAGGCTGTCCTCAATATGGCCGCCGCGTCAAATGTCTTGACCTACAACTTGTGAGGATTCGGCCCAACAAATATATAACAGCATCGAGTCGTGGCAGCGTTGGAGACGAGACATCGTTCAGATCTGGTGAGCCCATGGGCACAGTCATCGTACGTCAAGGTGAAATCACTCCAGCCTGGAAGAATGCACTGGCTGAGCTTCTTTTGATAACAGCATCCATAACCAACATCACATTGCTGATACCACGCAGTAAGTTGTACTGCAGAGTCTTGTCTTTTAACTCTGTAAACTATTTAGCTCATTATCTGCCTCTCCTCCAATTCACTACAAACTAATTGCCGGTCATAAACCCATATTTTATTCAGGCTTACAACCTGATTAATTAAATTGTGGTATAAAGTGATTAAAAGAGTTTGATCATTATGCAAATGTATAACTTAGCAACGGCTAACAGTTTTCGCCCAGAAATATTTTTTTAATAACTTTCTAATTTATTCATTATTTGATTGTTCATCATATTCTTATTCCCCGATAAGGGTACAAATTAGTCATAATTACAGTGTATACTTTTGATTAGAGAGATGAGTGTGATATACCCGTAAATCTTCCTCAACGTTAGCCGAACGAGAATCACCTTTTAGCTGTGACTTAAGAGTTGAGAAATCAGTCCTTCGTCAACGTTCCACGTTTCCGATGAACCCTTTTGTGCCAAGTTACTTACCTTAGTGCTCTGACAGGGGCTGCCGCATAAAAAATGACTGTTTATTTACACTCGCAATTCTAAGGTGATTCAACTTCGGCATCTGATGACGCTAGTTCACGAATCCCTCCTATCCGCTTCATAAGTCGAAGTCAAATATACGCCAACCACAACCTTAATTTACGAACTTTCCCTACCATACTTCATGCATATTCGACATATAGGAGGTAATTTTTCCGCCATCCCAACTGGCGCTCATAACATTTTTATCTACCTGACCACAAGCTTTATGCCCTCCTAATATCAGATTTTAGGCAACTTACAATGCGTTTCACATGAAGCACAAAACACTTAAACTGATCATGGGTCAAGAATAATTATGGAATTCTTATGGTCCTCATTCTAAACGCGATGTGCTATTTCACACTTTTAGCTAAGAATTTGTTAGAGCTGATGGGCAGGCTCTTTAACTTGAATCGGTTTTGAATGCTATCGAGATTTCTATGTCAAAAGGTTGCAGCTAGTGTTCACTCTAAATACTGTCACGACTTATTGGAAGCGATGCTCGAACTTGTAATGACTAGATTCTCATTTAGAATTTTGGTATTTCCTTCCTTCATTTTGAGAAGAGTTTACATGAAGGTTGCTTTACCCCGATGATGTGTAGAAGAGAATGATTTTTTTAGGGTCCTGAGAATATAGAGATAAGTTCTCGATTCGGCTTTCCTTTCTGGGAGCGATCGCCTATTTGCATTTTCATCTTCCTTTGCATTTTCAGTTAAATTTATATATCATTTACCCTCATTCAGATTCTTGCCGACCTCAACAATTTCAATATACCTCCTATTTCGCAATTCGCATAAAATCGGTTTCGCGGACAGCAAGTCTCACATTCCGCTTATGTACCCTTTTGCTCAGACAGAATTTTCCACAATTGATGCTTTGCCTTCCTTTTACAGAATCGTTTACACAAGTCCAGTTTCCGATAAAAGGGCAGATTTATGGGTAGTGCTTGTATTTCGATGTGTACATGTTTGCCATTCAATTGTGAGATTTTGCATAATTTCGATCAAGACTCACCCCTCAACTTGCATCACTTTATTCTTAGTGATCTCTGCAGGACATCATTTACAGAACTGCACAATGCATGATCATGCCCTTTTTTCCTGATGTCTTAAACATAGACTTCATACTCCTAGAGCTACTTATCCGCAACTCAAACCGGTGGTTTTTATATAACTCTGTTATTACCACCATCCTAATACCGTAGATGGTACAAAAACATGTTGAAGTGTGATGAACAACCACTTGTCGACTGAAAACATATGCGTAGATATCTTCTCACACTCGGCTTGAGCACCCAAATCAATTTCATCCTTCCATTTGTTCACTCTTCATCGATTTTGAGGGTAAACTGATGTCTCGATCATGCCTGGTCTTCATGGCGCCTTCCGCAGAACTTATAGCTCAGAACGAGTAGTTAGAATCGGATGCTTTATTTATTGGACTCAATGGGCAATCATAAAGCTTAGCATCAATGAATCCCAACCCAAATTAGGACATTTCACCGTAGGTACAGATTTCTGCTCTAATTCTTCATGGCTAAAATTGCTATATTATATTTATTATGGTTGCTATTAAGGCATATTTTAGTCTTAAATGAATTTCAAGTTCAGGATGATATATCTTATTTATTACTTATGGTCATATTATCAATATTGGTATGAAGATTTTAATGAAATGTATTTATAATTTGGCCCAATGATACCGAATAACTTTTTCAGTCAGCATTGACTACGGTTTTGGCATCACCCGTGTTCTACCCACAACCCTAATGGTAGTCAAAATCCGTGCATGCACTCTAAAATAAGATTTGTTATCACTTGATCACTCCGCACGGATACCATTAAGTCAAAGAGTATCTGTGATTTTTAAGACAAGGGGAGTCAAAAGTATTCTATATCTATATACTGATCATATAACAATTCATAGTAGCTCCAACTTTCATGAATAGACAAACCTGGTACGCATGAAAGTCTCTAGAAAGTCCCTTAAATTATAGTGGTCTAGACTGGCTTATACTGGGAAGTGGAAGCTTTACGTGCACTTACGAAGCTAAGTGTTGGTGAATATCCGAAGCTTCTTTATTATGCATGAATGTTGTAAAGATGAGCTCGCAATTTGATCCCACCTAATATCGATTAAAGATTACCTGGGATTTTAGGCTTCAACTTTGAGTGTTTAGGTCCTGATAAATCAGTACTGAACTTTACACTGTACTGCTCTGGTAGACACCAGCAGAGCAAAACATCTTTATCTAATTAACCAAACGCTGCTATATGAATGGTGTCTGGCCGAAAACCTATGTACTATTTATAACCAAGTGCTCGATGATATCTTTGTCGCATTCTTTATCCTTCCTGCATGTCTATTGACAAGTAAAGCTAATGTGGATATGGCATAACATCATTTTCCTTCCAAGGACTAATGACGTTAATAAGTGCTCTAGTGTATACAAGATTACAATCAATCTTAAACGGCATACTCACATAGTGTTGATAGCGACAAAAGGTGGGAGAGTTTTTAGAAAGGATGAATTAAATTTTATATAAAAAAAATATTTCTGCAATTTTTCAATTTAGAAATGTATGGGACTGTATCAAAAGCCCGTAAGGCTAGATCCAATGATTGTCTTCAGCATTGTGTCAGAATGGGCGAAATGTGGAAGTGGTAAATAAGTACACTTTAACGAGACTCTAGACCTCCATATGTTTATGGTCTGACGAAAATCAATTAATATAGGATCCAATTTATTAATATTGCGAATAATAATAGTGGTTTGCTGCATAATTCATTAGTATATATTTATAGCCTAGCAAGGGAATTCTCTACACATTGGAAGTTTTCAGTAAAGTATTCTTATTACTTAGCTAAAGTGATGTATGCTATTGTTAGAATATGGAAATATGCTTGAAGGTTATGATATAGTGTTAATTTTGTCTGACTATGTGGCACGCGGAAAATACTAGCTTTAGAGTTGACATTAGATCTGAAGTTAATGATTATAAAGTCAAACTAAGACTCATTTATAAAGACAACTAAGTTGCCCATTTGTAGAATCGTCTAATAAAAAGTTATTGCGACTTCTAAAATGTTTTCTATATAAACAAACACTTATATATAAATTAAAACATAATTTAAGGAATACGAGATGTATATGAGATGTATTCATCCTATTTCGTTTAAGGTAGTCTCGAAGCTCTACCTATAAGCGAAACATCATTTAAGGAATCACTTAAAGGTTTTCTGTACGTAAACTTTTACGTTTTCATGGTAAGTTATACGTAAAATTGCGTAACTGCAAACTGAAAAGGGATTGTCGTAATGCCAGAACCATTCATTTATGAATTGTCTTATAGCCCCAAACAGCTCATGTTAAAGCATAAATAGACTATTGTTTTGTTGATCTTTTTACGAATAGTAACCCGTTATGATGACTCTTTTCACAAAACATAAGAAAACTGGGCAGCCGTTATTTAAAACGATCCACCACAATAGATTTCCCCTGGCTCCGTAGTGAGAAAGTAAGGTCGCAAAGCGCTTCTAAGTCAACAATCCCAAAACGGGGAAGTCAGCTTCGATGACATCATGAGGGCATTTAGTAAATCCATTTTATGACTCTTAACTCTCCAAGCATGCATCATTTCAAGCGCTTGTCAGTCTCTAATTTTGCGCACTAGCGGCTTGCAAGGACGGAGCAGATGATATAACGACAAAAACCTTCTTCATCCTATCAATCACAACTTTATCAATACTCCTTTGCCCTCACTTCTTAAGGCATCCTGAAATAGGATTAAGTCTCTCCACTGCATACTTGAACTGAAAAAGGTCCGACTTCTCTTATACACTATTCCGGACTAGTAATTTCGTGGCATTATGTTCTCGCGTAGTTATAGCACATGTTGAAAAATCGAGTTTCTATCAATCTCAGAAACTGTACCTGCGTGTGACTCTTTTGATCGCACGTGACAAATTGAGTTAGAGTGAGTTACAGTTGTTTTGATGTAGATTGTTTCTTTCAGTGATAACTTCCTCCATTCTTTGGTAGCGAACCTTTGTCTCTCACACAATATGGCTTCTTTATCCACCTACTGGAGCATATTCTCGTCTTCATGCTCATTAGGTACCGATACTATCAAGAGACCATTAAAAGTTGTATACCCTCTATGTCACATCAGGTGTCAAGGGACTGATAGTCGAATTTTACTACAATTAAATGAGTGGACGTCACGACAGTGCTGAATTCAGCTTAGCCTTGTTTTAGAAGAGGTACTCACCACAAAGGTGGACTATAGTTTTGATGTAATCTTGGTCTCAGTATCCCCTTCAAGCGAAATTTGGACCTGGATCTTAAGCATCAAGTGGCGATAACCACCATTACGCTGCATAGCCTGGAAAATCATCTTTGGTTTAGGCCTAATCACTTCCTTTTACGTACTGGTATATACAACTCAAGAATATGTTTGCCACTCAAATCATACACTCTAGACTTGAAGCCTACCCATAACATAGAAGTCAGAAAGCCAAATCCTCCTTCCTCTGAAGAAGTATTAAAAGGCAGAATTTATGCGAAGA